GAGAGAGAGAGAGAGTATATATGTCAGTCCCTAGGATGGCCCTTCGGACATGTCCGACTGGGAGAGGACCCTGGGAAAGACCCAGGACATGCTGGATAGAGTACTGCATGTTTCTCTGTTGGCCTGGGAACACTTTGGACTCCTCTAAGGAGAGCTGAAGGAGGTGGCTGAGGAGAGATGTCTGGGCCTCACTGCTGAAGGTACTGGTCCCGTGACCTGACTCTGGAACAAACAGAAGAGGATGGATGGATGGATGGATGGATGGATGGATGGATGGATGGATGGACGGACGGACGGACGGACGGACGGACGGACGGACGGACGGACGGATGGATGGATGGATGGATGGATGGACAGACGGATGGACGGATGGATGGACAGACGGACGGACAGATGGATGGATGGATGGATGGATGGATGGATGCTTTTCGTGCATAAAACAAAAATATGCTGCTGGAAAGGTCACAACACCTGAAGACAGCATTATAGATTTCTGTCAAAATCTTGTGTCTGTTTACATGAAATAAATTGGCTGCAACAGATGAGGCTTCATGAGGTGGTAAAAATATACACCACTTATCTGTAGAACTTAGATTTAAGGGACAGAGAATACCTGGGGGTGGATGAAGCAGCTAGAAATGGGAATGGGCCTTGAGAGGCTGAGCTGCAGATGTGAGCCTGACGAGCTGAGTCATCTGGTTAGAATGATACAAGATGCCATACGAAATGATGGTCAGACCCAATGAGGAGGTGGTACATCGGTCATTTCTTTAGTTTGGATGATTGGTTTCAAGGAGGTTGTTCTGTGACAGGAAATCTGAGACTTGCTCAACAATCACACTTTCTGTTTGATTGGAAAGAAAGCAAGAGATCGAAGGTTTTCAGGAAAGGCTTATTGAGCAGAGGGGCAGTCTGAATATTTCAAATAAATAAAAATTATAAAATACAGTGAATAGTCATTGTTAAGCTGTTAAATATGTTTTATTGTTGTTATTTAGAATGATTTTATCTTTATTGTTAGAGATTTTAACATCATTAGTTTCATATTTTGAATGAACTGTGGGAAATGGTTATAAAGCATGTTTTTTGAACGAGAAGGTTCAACACTTTTATTAAAGATTTAAGTCTGAATTAAACTAAATGTTTTTAAAAAATATAAATAATTCATCAAGTTTTCACCAGATCAGTCAGCTTTGTGTTCTGCAGCCCACATCACTTTATTGTTCGTGTTCCTGGAATGTGAATGAAAGTCCTTGGACCAGATTGCCTCTCAGCCAAATCCTCAGAGTAACAATCACGCTGTGGGAGTTAATTAATTTATTTTCACTTTTCATGTTATTTGGCAATTCTGATTACTTTGAGGCTAAGCTTTATTTGAGCCGCAGTCACAGAAAACATGTGCTGTTTGGAGACATTTCAATAAGTGGTTTGATAAGTTTCAATTTTTTATTCCCTTGAACTGATGCTTTTTTTTTTCTTTTTTCAGACATCAATAACTATTCAGCTGCCTGCAACATCAAAAATACCACTCAGCAGTAACGTCTTAGATAATTAAGTGAGAGAGCTGCCAGTAACATAACTTTAGTTTTTTCTTAATAAACTGAAAGTGGAAGATATTTGCTGCTTGTTAAAAGTGTCGAAAGCAGCAGAGAATAAGAAAAACTGAAAATTGCACAACTGAAAGTCACTTTGTAACAAACAGCAGATTTAAGGCTTTACAACAAACACTAAAGTGGTTAATTACAAAACTAATTGGGTAGCAAAGACCAGAAGGAAAACAGCAGAAATTGTTCACTGCTTGCTCCTAACAAACCTGAGTGACACTGACGAGTACAAACCACGGCAGCCGGGGTGAAAATGGATGACAAAGCAGAACAAAAGGTGTCATCGCAGATTTTTTTGGTTACTGATAATAAAATTTATTTTCAGATATCATTTAAGCAACAAAACTTTCCAAGGCTATGACTAGAATTATGTGATGAAACCTGTGTGTTTGTGTGTGTGTGTGTGCTGTTTTACAGGGTACTGATGAGGAAGAGCAGAAACTGATCAGGGCCACCTCTCTGTTAGAGAGCCAACACCACCACCTGCTGCACTGTCTGGAGAAAACCACTGTGAGGGGGATTCTGTTTTAACTGGAAATAATATCTGTTTTTATCACCTGCTGCTGAAGACAAGGGAAGACTTCCTTCACAACACACTCAGAATGCTAACAGATTAGGCAAGATTTCACAATGTTGCATGAGATTGCACATATTGTTATTTTCAAGGTTTGACCTAAAGGGCTGTAACTACATTATTTCTCAACATAAGTTGATTTTAGTTTGAAATTCTGGTGTGGGAGGTGGGTAATTCACTATTAATTAGGAAGAAAATATGTATTTAAGTGTAAATATCTAAAGAACACTGCCTTCTCAATGTGATGATCTCTGTTTTTTTTTTCCTCCTAATGTAACTTTACCATACCATACCGCTTTGTTTATAAAGCACCTAAAAACAGCAAGGCCAACCAAAGTGCTGTACAGCAGAAACAAACAAGCAAAGTGCACAGCAAAAAATACATAGATCCAAATAAGTAAAGATAAGAACTAAATGACTAACATTATAGAATACAGGCAGGTTAAAAACAAAAGCACACAGTGTCAAAAGCCAGAAAGTGAACCGGGAGCCAGTGCAGGGAGGCCAAAACTGGTGTGATGTGCTCTAGAGTTGCATTTGGGTCCCAAAAATTCCAACCCGACCTGGCCCCACCCCTTAGCCATCATTTCTGAACCCCACCCGATTCGACGAATTAACAGTAATTACAGGTCTGAAACAAAAAAAAAAGAAGACATTTTTAATTAAGCTTTGACTGCTTATATAATTATTAATGGTCGGCGGACGTGCATGACTGAGTAAAGTGGGCAGAAGATCGGAGCTGAGGGGGTGTTTGTCCTTTCATGGCCATCAAAGTGCATTAAATGCTTCCCCTTCTTCTGCCTGCATTCTGCATTATTCAGACACGGACCCTGCTTTGACATGTCGTATATTTTGTGATCTCACCTGTTTGGTTCGTCGGACGCGCCCGTCCACTGAGTGCAGCAGCTGAATGAATGTCCATTTGGGCTGATGAATCGCTGGTAGTAGTCCATTTGAAGCTTAACTGAACTTTTTACCTCTTTCAAGGCCGGTCAGCGCATGGCCGTATGGTTGCGTGCGGCTGGTGATTGTATGGCGATCCATTTTGCCATATCCTGATGCATGCTCAATAATCCAGGTAGAAAAATCCAAAAAAGTTCAATCTGGTCCTCTGGACATTCAAAAAAACAAAAAACAAAACAAAGCAAAAAAATCTAGAAACGTTTCGTCTCTCATCCAAGAGACTTCCTCAGTCTGAGGTGCTGTTTTCAGCTCAGTCTCTTAAATAGCACCTTCTTAGAGTGGATCAACCAGTTTGCTGCTGACAACCAAAACCAGCTGATCACATGCTCAAGAAGGACCATCAGTCTAACAATGGGTCATTAGCACACTGATGGCTGTGTACTATTCACAGAGGGCTGAGTGATACTAGCAATCACAGCATTGTAAGAGGGGGACAGTTGAACCCGGAGGCCTCCACCCCTGTTTAATGATGGACGATTTCTTTTCACAAAGATGAATGTATGTTGAGGGGGTATCAGAGAAACTGAGACGTTTATTTTCTAAACATAACGTCCCAGTGGCTTTTAAACCCCAAAATACATTACGGCAAAGACTGGTTCATCCCAAAGATCCAGTCCCCCGGCACAAACAGAGTAATGTTGTGTATGCTGTTCAGTGTCAGGAGGGCTGTGATCAGTCTTACATCGGGGAAACTAAACAGCCACTGGCCAAAAGGATGGCCCAGCACAGAAGATCAACATCATCAGGCCAGGATTCTGCGGTCTACACTCATCTCCAGGCCAGCGGTCACTCTTTCAAGGATGAAGATGTTCACATCCTGGACAGAGAGGAACGATGGTTTGAGAGAGGAGTAAAGGAGGCCATCTTTGTGAAAAGAAATCGTCCATCATTAAACAGGGGTGGAGGCCTCCGGGTTCAACTGTCCCCCTCTTACAATGCTGTGATTGCTAGTATCACTCAGCCCTCTGTGAATAGTAAACAGCCATCAGTGTGCTAATGACCCATTGTTAGGCTGATGGTCCTTCTTGAGCATATGATCAGCTGGTTTTGGTTGTCAGCAGCAAACTGGTTGATCCACTACAAGAAGGTGCTATTTAAGAGACTGAGCTGAAAACAGCACCTCAGACTGAGGAAGTCTCTTGGATGAGAGACGAAACGTTTCTAGATTTTTTTGCTTTGTTTTGTTTTTTGTTTTTTTGAATGTCCAGAGGACCAGATTGAACTTTTTTGGCGTTTTGCCATATATTTGGATTGTCAGCCCTGCACGTCCACTAATGCAATCAAAAGCCCTACACTGACCTGGCCTGCACATTAAGCACATTATCATGGCCTAGCCCGGGCCACCCAGCCATAATCCGGGTCGAGCGGGGCTAGGCTCCAGGTTTGGGCTAGAAATGACACCTCTAATGTGCTCTCTTTTGCCTGTACCAGTTACAAATTGGCTGCAGCATTTTGGACCAGTTCTAATTGTGCAATGGAGGACTGACTGATAACAAAAAGAAGCACATTGCAGTAATCAAGCCTGGATGTTATGAAAGCATGTAATACTGTCAAGGTTATTTTTAGATTTCAATTTAGACAGTCGCCTGAACTGAAAAAAAAAAATAAAAAATCATAAAATGAAATCAACTGGATTTAACATCATGTTTATATTGTTTAGTTTCATGGAAGGGTCCATTTTCACTCCTAGATTAGTGACTTTTTGTTTCTCTAACGAGGCTGGAGAGGAAAAGGTCGATACAGTGGTTCTTGATCGTGCCATTAGGAGGAAACAACATGACTTCAGTCTTCTTCTCATTAAAACTTAAAAAATTTAAAGCCATCCAGTTCCTGATGGCACGTCGAGTGTACATAGTTTTAAACCAAGGCATGAAGAAGTCTTGCTCCATTTGTTTCCTTGTCATACACGTCTTTCACTTTGACAATGTTGCGTTCCCTCACATTGAATCTACGCCTCAACATCAGTCAGAAACAAACAAAAAAGAAAGAGAAAGGAAACTCTTGGCAGGAAAACTTCACAATGTTACGTGTCAGTTTGACAGTTTTCAGTGGAATGGTGAGGCTGGTGGAGGCGGGATGTGATGCTCTGCTGTAAAAGTTGTTCCTTGTAAATTTTTACACCACAAATACAGAATCTGGTGTTCCTCGAAGCTCCGGACCGGTATCAATTAAACATGAGCGTTCCCTATGTACTGGTGATACTGCCCTCGTCTGTTCACAGTTAAGAGACGTGCATTTGTTGTGCTTTTAATTTGTTACTTTTCTAGTTGTTTGTGTTGTTTAAAATGTTCATTTAAACTACATTTTAAATATAATTTTCTGCTGTCTTGTTTTCTTTCTCTTCCCTTCAGGCTCATGAGTTTATTGATGAGCAGATGTACGAGCAGAACTGTTTAGAGACGGCGTTGCAGACCTATCCGTCCCTCAGCCCGTCTATAGCCAGCCAAGGCAGCCCTGTGGTGAGCTGCTGTGGCCGGGGGGCGAAAAAAAACGCTCCCCTGCCCAACGCCAGCCTGCCCCCTGCCAACCCCGTCCCAACACACCAAGGTCACCTACAGGAGCTCAGCGCCCTGCACATACAGAGCAGGGACCCCCTGTCACACACAACCAGGTGAGAAACACAAACATGGGAGCATCGGCAAGACGTTGGCTGAGTGGTGCTGAATTATTACATTTCACAGCAAAGATCTTATATTAATGATCAGCTTTTGGCTGGTGATCATAAAGCCTGTTTAAGACACTTTAAATCCCAACATCACAGCCTCCCACCAGTAAAGGTGAGTCTTTATGTAGAAAATAACAGATGGTGTACAAATATTTTAAAGCAGTAATGCAAAATAATTAATAATTGGCAAGGTAGTGTTTGCTAATAAAACACAAATGTCATAAACTAGCCTGGGTGAGTTTACATAAAGACAATTTTTTACATAAAATTAGAGGATTTATTTAGTTTAATTTACCCTTTATTGATACAGGTAGTCTCACTGAGTAACAAGAACTCGTTCTCAAAAAGAGATCTGATTGGGAGGAGATGGTGGGGGTTAAGGGCCTTGCTCAAGGGCCAAGAGTGGGGTAAATGAGGGTGGAGGCAGGTGTGGGTGTTTCACCTTTTCCACCCACATTTTCATGTTGTCAGTCCGGGGAGTTGAACCTGCGACTTTCCGATCACAGGCCCATCTTCTATAATCTCTGCACCACCACTGTCCCTATTTAAAGGTTGTGTTAAAAAAAATCTACATTATTATAGAAATTCTGGCAAAATGATTGTACAGTTTCCATGTAGAATACAACATAGTACGCTGTTTTTGTTGTTGAGTTGTTCTAGTGTAGATACTCTGTGTAATAGTCATCACAAATATGCTATATAAATAAATCTGACTTGACTTAACTTGACAAATGTTATATAAATTTGGATACAAATAATTTTTAGTTGAAGTGTAAACCAAATTTGTGGAACATCAGGAAACAAAGTGCCACTAGAGGGTAGTATTGGACCGTTATTTTGTGCAGTCCTTAAAGAACAAACCACTGGACATTTATAATTATTGAATAAATAAAAAGGGGTTATGCTGACTATTATTAATCAATCAATATGCAAAATGAGCAACGAATACCTCAGTGTGCAGTAATAATGACACTCATTCTTTCTATACTATGTATTTGACACTTAAGAATTTTTTTTTTAATGATTTAATAAATTCAGTTCAATTCAACCTTTATTTATACAGGTTAGTCTCACTGAGCCTCGAGGACTCATTTACAAGAGAGGCCTGTTTTTATCAAGGAATGATGCCAGCAGTAGACGATTGGGTTTAAATTGGGTTTTAAACAGTTACATCACAATCGTATAAAACAACGGGTCCATTTATGACCTCATCTCGTTTTGTTAGCTGCATTTAGTTTGTTTAACTTCTTCTTTTCTAACAGCCGCTCAACCCTCAACCTGAAAACTGACAACAGCAAAAGGATCAACTGTAAACGTGGCCGCTTCACCACAGCTATCATCAGCCTCCCGACACCTCCTGCTCTGACCCCGGACAGCGATGGCCTCCACGGCCCCCTGCAGCGAAGGATGCCCTTGCCTCCAGGCCGCCCAGCAGCCCCGAGCATCCAGACCACAACAAGCTCAGCTGGGTCCAACATCGTCAAAGTCTCAGCTTTGTGACTTCAAGGCTGGATGGATGGAGCTCAGGAGGACAAGAAACAAGGTGATGAAGGTGGAGGAGGAGGAAGCAGGTCACACAACAAATGCTGAAGGATGCACTGGGTTCCTCCTCACAGGGTCAGTGACAAGAGACCTGTTCTCCAGACTGAAGGAGACACCACTGGTGAACTTCAGACACATGAATGAAGACTCAAACCTGCGTCTTTTTGTGTTGTTACTGTAAATTCAGAGACCTGCTGCATTTAGTTTCTGACAGCAGCGCAGATGTTTTAAAAGACATTGTGCATTTAGTAAAAGGTTTAAAAAAACAAAGGGATTAAAACATCACAAAACGCCAGTAAGTTTCCAGTGAATTCACAGTGAAAAGAATATTTGTCGTCTTTAAACACTGAAGAAAGAAAAAGGTGTGGATTGTGTTTCCTGTACTTCTTTTGCTCTTGTTTGTGCTACGTGTTAGGCATATGAAAAATTAAAAATATTTATATACATGTATTTTCTTTACAGCATCCTTTGAAAGTCACCGAACCCGAAGCTGCTACATTTCATATATGAACATGTTTGGAGACTTCTTAATAAACGAGTGCTCTTGTCTTGTCAAAGATTCAAACCAAACTGTGAGTTTTAGTTGTATTTAAAGGTTTTACTGAACACTGACGGTGACTTGGACTTTACGGGCATTCATACTTGAAACAAAGCAGTGACTTTCATTTGTAAAAAATTACTTGAAGATGATACATTGATCAGAGCATTGTGGTATTTTATTTAAAATTGCATAACTTAAACTGCACATAAAAAAAGAACAATTATAATATTGATTTCCTTATTTTTTATTAGAGATGTCAGTTGACGTGTTTTAGCAAAAGTTTTATCACAAGCGCACTTTTTGTTGTTTTTGTTTGGAACAGTATTTTGCAGATTAATAGTTGTCCACATGAGATGCTTGTGGCACGTTCTCCTCCGTAATTTGTGCCAATGTTGTGCTGCCATGTTTCCACAGCAGGTGAGAACAGACAAACCTAAACTGGTCCTGAAGTGAGCCTTTGCTGCAGGGGGAGTTCACATCCACATGTTACAAAGAGGCGGGTGGAAGCTGCAAACATGTAAACGTCATCATCCTACTGTTACGATGTGCTGTTTGTGTGAAATTGTTATAGTTGCTGTTTATGTTGGATCCTGAAACGGTTCTTTATTTCCTTCAGTTAAACTGACAATAGGAATTGAAGGTTCTGATTTAAAAAAAAATAAAAAAGTTTACTTAAGAATGAGCTTCTTTGATGCAACGATTGCTAGGCCTGTTGCAATAAACAATAAATACATTAATTGCATGATAAATGAAAATTATCGACCTCATTTTCATTTATCAACTTTATCCTTTCTTCGTGTTTCTCTTTCTACTGAAGACACTGGATGACAAAAGGATCAACTCTGGTGCTCTTCACTGACCCCTCCCCTTCTCTTTTCTCTTTAAAATCCATTTTAACCATCTAAAATCAGGTTTTTGGATAGTTAAAAGCAGCTAAACTGAGAAGTTAAGCTGCGAGCTGAGCTGACAAGCTGTCTTGTCGAAGCTCCAAAATTCACGGTTGAAACCCGTGCCTTCATCTAAAAAGTTGTTTTTCTCTGCAAAAAGAAGCTAAAAACTTGTTTAGTGATTTTTTTTATTTTTTTTTATCAAAAGCTTTGTGTGACAAATGCTATGCTAAAGAGCTCAAACCACACCGAGCGTCCGCCATTTTGAGAACCGAAACAGCAGGAAGGAGAGACAGCCCATGTCACGTCAAGGGGCTTCGCTCCCATTTTACTTAAAGAGACATGCTGCTCGCTCCCTCACTATCCATCCATCAGTTCAAACTGTCTTATACTGCCATCCAGTGGTCAAAACATGTTCTGCATATAAAAATTAACCAATATTTCTTTTTCAACTTGACAATTAATAATTATTGTCAAATTTCAAACAATATTATCATTTATTGCAATAATTTCTGAGACAATTAATCGCCTAGCAAAATTTGTTATTGTGACAGGCCTAACGATCGCAAATAAAAACCCACCTCAATTATTCAGATTTTTAGTTGTGCGTGTAAAACTTTTTGTGAATTCTCTAACAAGCTCCTCTGGACAGATTCTTCTTTGTTGAAATGTTTCCTCTTTTATCCAAAAGACTTCTTCAGGCTGAGAAGCTGCAACAAACTCAGTCTTATAAGCAGCACCTTCTCATAGTGGATCAACCAGTTTGATGGTGATGTAGTTGTTCACATGCAAAAGGAGGACCACCAGCCTAACGAATGATCGTTAGTGCCCTAACAAGTGGACATCGAGAAATTTTCTTGAATTGGACTTCACCAGTGGTATAAGAACATCTCAAAGTCATATTGTTTAAATCCCAGGTTCCCACTGTGTTTTCCAAAATGCCAAGAGATGATCTGCTCTAACAAAAGGATATAATTGTTTATTTTTTGTCATAATTGGAATTCATTTCCATTTTATTCAATATACTTTATTGATTCCCAAGGGGAAATTTAATTTTAGTACATCCTGCCAAGACAACATACATGGGGGTGGGGGAACAAGATTTTTAGGACTGCAGCCGCATGGAGCAGTGCAACCTTTCATACAGAGATAAGAAAAGAAAACATGAGGAAATAAAGCTTTGGATGCAAGGCACTGTGTGAAGAAGCAAGAAAAAAAATCTACCAAGAAGTTTTTGGAAGAAAAAACAGCCATCTTAAATTAATTTTTAAAAATGTCTAATTGTTGTTTCCTCCGTTTGTGTTCTTTTTAATTGCCTTGGAGATGTTTCTCTGTTTCAGTTGTTGGGGTCACAGTGTCCTCCACTGTTTTTTGTGGGTCAGTAAATTCAAACTTTGGGACCCGGTGGTCTGATTCATAGCAGCTGCTTAGCTAAAAATGTAAGTACGGTAATCCTTAAATTTAAAAAAAATGTTTGATTAGATCTTCATTTCACGAACCTTTGGATGATTTGAATCGTTGTTTGAACCAGCCGGTGTCTCCAAATGCTCTATCTGTATATGTTCATTAGTGTTTTGGTTTGTTTGTCCTGCTGAAGGGGAAGCTTATGAGGAAACTTCATGTCCTCACTTATGACGTGAATATGTTTTTGCTACTTTAATATAGTTTCTGTTGCATTTTAATGTCGATTTACATGTTGTGCCAAATCTGGTCATTTATTTGTATTCTGTAAGAAAAAAAAAAACAAATTTAATTCTACTTTTCAGAGCAACCGTCTAGATTTTTTTCCTGTAATTGCTTCAAATACTGGGTGTCAGTTGAGACACAGTGACTGAGTGAACCGTTTTCTACACTTAAAGGCTTTTCGCTGCGTCATACATCAATTTTAACAGTTTTTATTAAGAGAAATCCTGTTTCTCACACTGAAGTGACTTCTGATATCTGTCAATATAAGATTGATTTCCTTTTAAAGACATTGTTTGCATCACTTTTGAAACGTCTTGGTGTTTTGTCTGTGTTGTTTCTGATCTTTTTACAGGTTCGAACTGAGAGTTTTTGTCTGTTTTGATGTGCACAAAAGATTCTTTCAGTTTGTTATGACTGTGAAGTGCCGGGTGAGAATTAAAATCTGACACAGCATTCAAACTGTATCTCTGTCCATTCATTGCTAACCGTCTGGACGCCATTAGCTTCTTTTAATCAATGTTGAGGCTGATTTTAGTGGTGCCTGAAAACAATCTGTCAAGATCAAAGTTTATTGTCATTCACATCACATGTGGTTCATGAGGTGGAACGAAATTGTGTACAAAGGGTCCCAGTTACATTCAACAAAAGTATAAATTGTAAAGAAAAACTGTAATAAGATCTAAGATATGAACTAAGAATTATGCTAGACTAAGAATATGCTAAACAATAGTACTAAAACAATACGCTGAACAACAGCAGCACGAACATGAGTCTGTATGAGTATGAAAGAACACAGCAGCATGAAACAAATCAGCAGCATGAGATCAGCAGCATGTATAGTCAGCAGAACATATCAACAATCGAGTGGCTTTACAGTGATTTTTTTCACAGTGATAATCCTGGTTAGAGATTCATGAGTCTAACAGCTTCAGGGTAGAAGCTGTTCCTCAGTCTAGTGGTTCTACACTTAATGCTCTTCAACCTCCTTCCTGAGGGGAGCGGGGCAAAATGTGTGTGTGCTGGGTGGGTGGAGTCCTTCATGATGCAGGTGGCCCTCTTCCTGCATCTGAAGGTGTAGATGTCTGTGATAGTGGAGAGGCTGACTCCAATAGACTTCTGTGCAGCCTTCACCACTCTCTGCAAAGCTTTTCTTTCTGCAGCTGTGCAGCCTCCATGCCACACGTTGATGCTGGAGCACAGGATGCTCTCCACTGCACACCTGTAGAAGAACGTGAGGACTTAACTTCCCAGTCCAGCTCATCTCAGCCGTCTGAGGAAGAAGAGTCTCTGATGAGCTTTCTTGATCAGGCTGGCAGTGTTGCCGTCCCAGCTGAGGCCGTCTTCCAGGTGCACACCCAAGCACCTGCAGCTAGAGACCATTTCCACTGCAGATCCCCCCCACCACCACCACACACACACACACATTCTGGGGAGGGGGGGCAGGTGTACTTGTTCCTTCCGAAGTCCACAACCATCTCTTTCATCTTCTTCACACTGATGTCAAGGTTGTTCTTCCTGTACCAGCTCTCCAGGTGTTCCACCTCCTGCCTGTAGCTGGACTCATCATTGTTTGTGATGCATCCCACTACTGCTGTATCGTCTGCAAACTTTACAGTGTTACAGCCTGGATGAGTAGGTGCACAGTCATACATGAGCAGAAGGAACAGGAGAGGGCTCAGCACACATCCCTGAGGGGAGCCAGTGCTGAGGGTTATGGTGGAGGAGGAGAAGTTGTGGATCCTCACTGACGATGGTCCGTTTTTTAAGAAGTCCAGGACCCAGTTGGAAATTGAGAGCTTGCTCCAGTGTGAGTAGTTTGTCCATCAGGGTCTGTGGAACCACAGTGCTGAATCAATAGTTTGATTAAAAAAAGAAAGATGCTGTTTTATTTTTA